CCATGGGTAGTTTCCCTAAGGACTGTGTGGCTTGTAGAGATCATTATAAAGTTAAATCTCATCCCAGGGTGAGCAAGAGGAAGACTATGTGCCATTTCAAGGACATGGAGGCTGAGATACACTGCCCTCTGGTCATTCCCAATTACACCATCACTCTAGCCTCTGAGCTCGGCCCTTTCCCTATTTAGTCATATTTGTTTAATCCCCTAGTAATTATGTATACTTCATGGGGGTGACACTGGGGTTTCTAATGATCTCAACATGCAGAGAACTTCTCATGATGCTGACAAGTAGCTCTCAAAAGTAAGTATAAGAATATTGGAAAAGACTATTAAAATGGAGGCTACTAAGCCCCATCCCCAGACATTTTGATTCAGTACATCTGAACTGGCATTCAGGAATCTGAGAGCTTAAAAAGCAGCCTTTTGAAGCAGACTATAATAGAATGCTTCCCAAGCCTTACGAAAGGAGGCTGAAGGTCTGAAACCAAGGTGTGGGCAGGGCCATCTTCTCTCTGAAGGTTCGCCCTTGTCCCTTCACAGCTTCCAGGAGTTCCCCGAAATCCTTGCCCTTCTTCAGACGCAGCGCTCCAAACTCTGCTTCCATTGTCACACAGCCTTCTCCCTGTCTGTGCCTCTGTCCAAACTTCCCTCTTCTTCTAAGGACACCAGTTATTGAATTAGGGCTCCTATCCAGTATGATCTCATCTTAACTTGATTCCATCAAAGACCCTGTTTCCCGAAGGTCATGCTCACCCACGCAGGGGATTAGGACTTGAACTTGTCTTTTGGAGGGACACAATTCAACCCACAACACCTGGGCTCCAACCTTCACTGTCTTTTGATGGACAGTGGAATAGCTGCAGCTACTCTCCTTGTCTCTAGTAGCATTGCGCCTTCCAAGTTACTTTAGAAGCGACTCTACAACCAGAGGGAAATTGCTAAAATACAAAGCCTGTCCTGTCATTTTCCTGCTTAAACCGTTTAGTGCTTTATCAAGTTCAAATACTTTACCAAGATAAAGGCCAGTATGAACCTTTCCAGATTTGCTTCTCGCATCCCATGCTCCAGAAAAGACAACATACTTACCACTCCATTGGCACCAGCCTTTTTATGTCTCTGCACTTTTGTTTCTCCTATTTTCAGTCAGATTTTTTTTTAAAGTCCAAATCACCTTCCACATGCAGCGCAGAGATATTTTCTTATATACAAACTGACCATGTAGGGCTTTCCACACCTGGAGGAGAGAGTCCGACTTGCTTTGCTTGTCAAGCCCTTCCTCACCCAGGCTTTTAGTCTCATTTCTCAGAGTGTACCCCTTCTACCCCTAAATCCCATCATTATCCTACTGTTCATAGTTCTCCAAACTCCATTCTACTGTTCTTGCTGCTCCCTCTGCCCAGGTTGACCTGTTCATCTGTGTTGAGCTCCTGTTAATCTTCATGTCACCTCCTCCATGAAGCCTATCTGATTCCCACCCCAATGCAAGAATTGGCCACCTTTCTCCTTTGTCCTCCCACTGTGGACGCTTCTCTACAATCCTGCGCTACATGTATTGGAAATCTCTCTCTCTCTTTCTCTCTCTCCGGAGAAAATACAGTACAGAACAAGAGTGACCGCATTTATCTTTTTAGTCTCAGCACTCAGCAAAGTGGCACACAGTAGGCTGTCACAATATATCATGAATGAGAACAACTGAATTATTTCAATCCCGTTGCAGGCCTGTCCTCCACAGGAAAGCACCTGATGTCAGCACCTAGGGTTTCCTACCAGGGCCAGGTGATTTACTAATTGTATGATTCATCGGGCTTTGTGTATCAGGTGTCACCTCTGTATTCAGCTTCACTGATCAAGAAAATGAATTCGATCCTGGCTCTCTGTCCTCCCGAGAGCAGCTTGCCAGGAAAAGGCGTTAATGTGGTAAATTATCTTCCCAGCTGTTAATATCGTGTTCCTGTCTTGTTTCCATTCTTTTAGTCCAGCTGAGCATCAATTTGCTCAGTGATATTTACATGGATATCTTCATTTCATCAGTCCCATTGTCCATCTGTTTGGCCGAGGGCTGGATTACCCGGCTGGGCCAAGAGTAGAGGCGGTGGCCAGGCTGAATGGTAACTTGTCCCCAGAGAGAAAGGCAGCCCCATTTCCATCTTTCTGCCCCTGCTTACCGTTGAAATGCAGACTGGCAGACACGGAGCAGGGAATTAAGAAGATCATTCTTTAGGAGAATGTTAGGAAATTAGGGGCATTGTCTTCTCTAAAACAGAGACTACACCGTGAACGCTGAGCGGAAAACACGAAGGAGGCACTGGCTTCTTTACTTAAGTCCTCACTCTGCAGGCCACATCTAACAAACCTTCATTGTTTCACTCATTGAAAAAACAGTCACTGTGGGCCTACTATGTGCCAGATACTAGGCCCTAAGGATGCAAAAGAGTCCTTGAATTCACATTGCTTCTTTTCCATTAGGCCAACAAACAGCCCTTGAGTACCTACTGTATACCAAGCACTGTTCTGAGTCCTGGGGACGAAGCGTTGATCAAGACCAAGGCCATACCCTCAGTCTGAAGAGGCTGTTTGGGTTGAAGGCTGGATGGTGACCAGATCAGGTGGCAGTGGGATGTTATTTCCCGAAAGGACAGAGCAGTGGGTTTAGGAGGGTGAGGTCTAAGGGCAGGCAGAGGCCGTGGCACAGCTTTCGGATCTTACTCTAAGTGTGATGGGACGCACTGGAGGCTTTTACGAGAAATGCTAATGTTATCTGAATTACCTTTAAAAAGAACACGTAGTCTGCTTCTATGTGGAGAATGGGCCGCAGAGGAACTAACTAGGCTGGAGGCAGGAAGACCTGTTAGAACTACCACTTCTGTCAAGGTGTGATGAATGCGGTGAGTGTGTTTGGTGGTAAAATAGACAGGACTTCCTAACAGAAGAGAATGGGTGATATGCAAAGAGGAGCACCCACAAACCCAGGGAGTGGCCTGCACTGCGCTGTGGACGGCAGGGCCATTTCTAAGGTAAGGACCGCTTGACCGCGGGGAGCAGATGAGGGGAGGAAAGTCAACAGGTCCGTACCATACGCATGTGGTGGGTTTGAGATGCCTATCAGACATCCAAGGGGAGGTGTCAAGTGTGTGATTAGACCTTAAAGAAGACGGGAAGGAGGGGGCAGCCGGGTGAGGGCATTGGAACGTGGAGGTGCAGGGTAGCTTAGAAATGATGCACAGATTGAAATGCAACTCACGTTGTGGAGCACTTGCCATATGTCATTCATTACACTTTACATCCCAAGTGCATTACCTCATTCACCCACACAACAAGGGAGATGTTGTTTCCGGAATGAGACAGAGCCTAAGAGTGGGACACTGCAGTCTGCTGGCCCGTGTCCCCAGCTCCACTATTTTCTGTCTGTGTGACCTTGAGGAAGTTACTTAAACTCTCAAGGTATTTTTTTCCTCATCTGTAAACTGCAAACAATAATACAACCTTTATGAGGCGTCAAAGAGGCAATGCATATAAATATCAAATCACAGCACATGTATGTAATTACTAAGTAATAGGCATCAGAGTTATCATGGTTTATTATCATCCTGTGATGGGTGGAATTGTGTCTCATAAAAATATGTGTCCCATTCCTAATGCCCAGTACTTGAGACTGTGAACTTATTTAGAAATAGGCTCTTTGCAGATGTCATTAAGTTAAGATGAGGTCATCCTGGATAAGGTGGGTCCTGGTCCTCTGACTGGTGTCCTTGGAGGAAGAGGGGAATTTGGACCCAGAAGGAGAACGCCATGTGAAGCTGAGGCAGAGGCTGGAGGTATGCTACCACCAGCCGAAGACTGCCGACAACCGACGGTGACCATTGGAAGCCAGGAGAGAGGCACAGGACAGATCCTCCCTCCGAGCCCACGGAAGGAACCAGCCTGACCAACACCGTGACCTCAGAACCTGGCCTCCAGAGCTGAAAGAGGAAATATCTGTGGTTTTAAGCCACCCACTCGGTGGTATTTTATTATGACAGCCCTAGGAAATTACTAATACAAGTTCTACTTTACCAAATGAGAAAATCAAACTTCCAAAGAGGTGACATTGCTCTCCTAAGGTCACACAGCAATAAGTTGGAACCCCTGAATTCCTATCAGAGCCATACGTTTCCTCCACTCAGCTCCTGTAAAATGTTGCGGACGGTATTAGGAAGCAGCTTGCAAACGGCTTAGTCAGTGTCCTCTAGGCCCCCGCAGTCCATGGGGGAGACAGAAGAAAACTGAGCAAAGTGAACTTGGCTCTGACATCAACGTACCGGGAACGGTCCCTGGGAGCAGAGAGAAGGAGCCTTTATGACAAGCATATGGAGTTCCGGCAGGCTGCGGACTTACATGGGGAGCACGTGTAAGGAATGGCTGGCACCCACGGAGCCTGGAAACAGCATTGCTTCTGGAGTCAGGCAGGGCAGGTCCTTTTCAGATGAGTGGCTGCCACTGTGCACAACACCTACACACAGCAGCTCACGGACCCCTCACACCACAATCTGAGCAGGGTTATTGCACATGTATTCGACAGATAAGGGCGCCAAAGCTTAGAGAACACTTCGTTTGCGGGGCAAAGCCACTGGCCCCAGCTCACATGGCCAGTGCCTACAGATACACACCATAGGTCCTCCTTGGTCCAATGACCTCTCTTTTGACCTTTATGCTGTGTTCATTGTCACTCTGTTCTACTGTCCCCATCTTGGTTTTCACCCCTTACTAGCAGCCTGACCTCAGAAAGGCATGTAAACTCTCTGAGACTAGCTCACCCCATTTGCACCTAGGAATGATCGTATCATAGTGCACGTTCAGCGTGAAGCACATTGCCCCTCGCCGGACAGACAGCAGCCTCGTATCCTCAGGTGGTCCTCCCCAGTGCGCGCGAGGTCAGTGACATCAGACGAGCACAGCCCTTACCAGAATCCTCCCCAGCTCCCTCTGAACATTGATGATGGAGAAGAACAAAGAGCTTACCTGTCTTTTCGCAGCATCTCCAGGTGGACCAGAGGCAGAGAAGGCCAATTTAGGAGGTCAAATAGTCTACAAGTTGATCTACAGGTAGAAACACAAAAAGGATGACAGAAAAATTGAGGGATGGGTGCCCCTGGGCAAAGAACAGGTGTAGCCAGCTGGGTTCACAGGAACAGAGCCATTTTATCTCAATTTCATGCTAGACAGCTCAGTCTGTTTAACAAATGCACCTGGATGCCTAGAGAGATCGTCAGTTCCACTTTAAATCAGAGTCCCAGATGGGTGGAGCAGATCCCTTTCGGGTCTAGGGCAGTTTTATAGAAGCAAAAGGCAGGTGGCTAAACCGTCGGGAAAGGGGCCGAAGCACAGCATGGGTGGCTCTGCAGAAATGAAGAGAGAGTCAGATGTGGCCTCCCAAGTACTCTCCTTAGACAGGGAGGTAACAGTAGCAACAATAGTAATAATGGTGATATTGATTGGTTGCTTGTTATGTGCCTGGCACTGTTATAAGCATGCTTGAGCCCCAGGAAAGGCGGTGTTATTTTTATTCCTGTTCTGTACGTGAGGAAACTGAGACAGATTGGAACCCAAGGGATCGTCCTCAAAATCGCAGGCTCTTAACCACTATTCGCCACAACTTTTTGGTCTAGTGCACAGGAAACTGGAGTTAGTCCACCCCCGGAGGACGCCAAGCTGAACCGTCCCCTCCGAGTGTAAAACCTCAGCTCTGCGGGGACCATGGAGTGAGCAAGAAAACTGGCAATTCTGTAGAAGCCCGGGGCTGCCAGCATCAGAAGGGCCGCTGAGCCCACCCACTCCCGTTCATCCTGCCAAGTCTTGACTCTCGCCAGCTGCGCAGTGGGTTTGAGGCGCGCCCCCTGCAGGCTGCAGAGGGTTGGGCTCAGGACTGAATGGGAGGGGTGCTCGAAAAGGAAACAGGCCACTGAGGCTGGTAAAGAAATCGTTCAGAGCGCTGCTGCGTATGCAGATTATCCGAGCCTAGAATGGCTAATGTTTAGTGGTGCTTTGATCTGATGACAACCACAAAGTGAAGGAAGGAGAACAACATCCAAAATATCAGGAAATTAACAGATTCTGCTAGATGGTGTCCCAGGTAGCCTTAGGAAGCAGCCCAAACATACAAGGTGTCACCCCGAGGGGGGAGTGCTCCATATAACCACAAAGTTTGAGCCAGGACATCTGTGTATGTATAGGATGACATGTTTGGTGTCCATGGAATGGAGCCAGACTTGGAACCCCCCGGGAAGTCTTGTCACAACAGTGCCATGGAGAAAGCGCCCGTCTACCACTGCCTCCATGAGCAGCCTCTACTCATGTTACTCCCTTTTTAACATCAGTATGGAGTCTAGACACCAACCCCAGGAAGTCCTAGAATTGCCCAGGTGTAAGGAGCTAGCATGAGGCCCCAGCTGTGTAAATTTAGGTGCGTGACAAACTTTCTATTCTTCAGTTTCTTCTTCTCCAAAATGAGATCAGTAATAGTAAGTGCTATTGGAGGGATTAGATCAAATAATGTGCATTAAACACTTAGGAGAATACTAGGCAATGCAGAGATGCTTATAAACGGCAAACAATGTTAGCTGTATGTCAATAAACTGAAAAAACTATTTGGCGAGCAATAATTTCTGTAAATAAATTTTTACTATTGTTCTCCTTGAGAAATCCAGACTGTGTGTGTGTCTGTGTGTGTGTGTGTGTGTGTGTGTGTGTGTGCGTGCACGTGCATGTGTGTGTGTATACACAAGTGGACAAAGCCTTATAATAAAGTGGCATTACAATGTGCTGCTCGCTAATTTGCATTAAGAAGCCTTGATGGAAGAGGTGACATTTGATCTGGGCTTTCAAGGAAGAGTTGACGTTGATGAAAGAGAAGGGTGAAGGGTCTTCCAGCCAGAGAAGCCTGCCCAGACGAAGGGCTGAAACTGCCTGACAGTTTGGTCAATGCGGAGCCTGACATCTCTGTGGGGGAATTGCCTTGTTTCCTGGTCGTCTCAGAAGTCTGCTTTACCTTCCAAATGACATAATCAAGTCCTCAGTGGCTGCCATGCTTTCTGTCTTTATTTAAAACTCCAGTTCCTTCTCCTGACCACTGATGTTCAGCTCAGTGGTAACATCATGGACCATTCTGACCGTGGGTATTTCTATAATCCTTAAAGTCGGATGTACAGCGTTCCAAAGCCTCCCTGGCGTGAGCTACAGCCAGAATACTAATTATTACCTACTAATACCCTTTAGCCATGAAGAACAACATTCAGCATTCATTTGTTTATTCCATAAATGCTCATCCAGCGTCCACTAGAGTCAGACACTATGGTGAGTGACGGGGACATGCTGGTGAACAGAACAGACACAGCCCCTGCCCTCACAGTCTAACAGTGGAGGCAGCCATTAACTGAGAACACAGATAAGTCACTTGTCACAAATAACTGATGCCCAGTTATATGGAAATAAACCATGATGCGGTAATGGAGAAAAAACAGGGAGGGACATCTATTTAGACTGAATGGAGAACTTTCTGAGAGGGGACATTTTAGATGCATCCTGCACTATGAAAAAGGAGTCCAACGTGCAACGAGCATAGGGACGAGAACTCCAGGCCTGAAGAAAGCAAAGATTTGGAGAATCTGAAGGTGGCCAGTGAGGCTGCAGGGAGGGAGTGACCATTCTACCTGAGGGCTGGCATGACCTGGAGAAAAGAGAGATGTAATGAAAGACTGACACCCCTGTAATAATAGCAGCACCCACTGACATGGTCCTCTCCACCTTGGTTACACTTCCTGCCTAGTCTCTCAGCTGCTGCCCAGTCCACAAGCCTGAGCATGAGCCAGCAGGGGCTTGTCCTTCCATTACATAAAAAACCGGAGCTGAGAAGTGGCGACCCACCAAAAACATAGTCCATGGTGGAAAAGCCACGCAATGGACTTCAAACTCTAAACTCTCAGTCAGGCTCTTCCCCGGCCTACGCTGCCGTGACTCAGTGGAGTTATTAGCTGATGACAGGAGGTCCCTCGTGTCATCCTCCTCAATGAGTCGCTGAACTCACATGCAGGACCACACATCTTCTCGCCCTGGATGGAGGGGATCTGTGGGAAGCTCCCATCCTCTAAGTTGGCTACTTCCTGGAAACAGAGCTCACCCTCAACGTAACTCTAATAATGAAGAAAATAAATTAGATCCCAGAATCTCTTTTACTCGGGATAACAGCTCATTACAGGAAGTCATTAATGCAGTAAATCAAACTCACAACTGTTGACACCATGAAAGCCTGTTGTTTACCTTCCTTTGATTCAGCTGAGTATCAATTAGCTCAGTGATATTTACATAAATATCTCGATTTGGAGGGTAGAATCGTCCATCTGCTTGTGGAAAGATTTAATTAGATCCGTGTTATTAGGGAGGAAGAAATTGATCCTTTCCAACATTAACCTTTTCAATTAATATATGTTTTGCAATGTATTGTGTAACATGCCTTGTTATGTAAATTGGACAAACTGGAGCATTTCATACCGGGGAAAGGATGTTTTTTTTTGTTTGTTGGTTTGTGTTTGTGGTTTTGTTTTTTAAGATTTTTATTGGGGAATTGCAGGGATGGGAACAGTGCTGGGGAACTGGGGGAAGGGGAACATACAAGTTGCTGTCATTTCTGTTCTTCACTCTAGTTGTGGAGGACGTCG